TTATCCCCGTCGTAAAGTGGTTAGCTATTAAGTCTTATAAACCTCTCCTTGACAAAGAAGCCTTCCTCTAATTACTCTGTTACTCACTACCTCTGCCCTTTGTTTCCGTCAGAGCACTTATTACAACTTATTCACTAGACTGTAAGCTCCATGAGGCAGAAACTATGTCTATCAGGGTGTTATGCCTTACACAGTGTCAGACAGAAGCAAGTGCTCAAGGAGTATTTGCTAAACGAAAGAACGAGTGAAGAGAGAGACAGGATTAGGCTGCAATCCCCGCTCTACTACCTCCTAGTGGTTTGATTTTAGATAAGCTACAACTTGTCTGAGCTTCAATTTTCTCTTCTATAAAAAAGGAATAAATACCTTCTAGGATTGCTAAATGAGACATAATGAAGATTAACTGTAATTAAATAAAGACCAAGCACAGTATCTGAACTTAATTTCATAAAAGTTATAAACAATTTAATAAATGTCTCATTTCCTTTCCTTCCTTCTATAGCTTAGATAGTGAGAATTCCCTCAGCTAATTCAGTATTGGAACTATATATAGAGATAGATAGACCTATTTATATATACATCTATTGTTGCATCTATTTAGAAAGACTGATGACAGGCATCTGAACAGATAGATTGGGAACCTGTACTTGCAGGATCTAATCCTATACCTCAGAAAGTGGGAATGAGTAGTGTACATCTATTACTCACCCCTCCCAAAATGGAGGAGGGGCAGTGAGGAGAAATAGGAAGGAAAGGTAACCTTAGAAATTAGAAATCATGACTTCAACTTCAATTCCTAAGTTTAGAACAACCTTCATTTATCCACAAAGATTTGCAACAATAACAGGAGTAATACTCATTCTAAATTTCTAAAATAAAAAAAAAAAAAGATTTTCTATTTGCTTAAATTCATGTAAGTCTCATCTATATTAAATGTATTTACCTTCTTTTTACCTTTCATTCTTTAAACTGTAATATCACTGATAAAACATAAATAAAAACAACAAAAAAACCCCAACCACCATAAAAACACCTCATCAGAAACACAAAAAGGTCTCACTGTTCCCTTAATTTCTTGATAAGCTTTAAATTTTCTAACCACGAAAGTGCATATTTTCTTTCCAAACATTTTCGTTAACTACTGCTCACTTTTCAGCCTGACACCACTTTTATGTTTTCTTCAGAGATTTTACTTTCTAGGAATCTTCTAAATCATTTACCACACATCATTCAAATCTCCTCCATACTCTTCCTGGAACGCAGTACCCCTCTGAAAGTGGTCATTTAATACCTTCTGCCAGATAACCACTTTGATTTTGTGGAATGTGCTACATACCTTCATATTCTCCCTAGGATATGGATATAATTTAGATTTTAAACCCAAGGAAGGGCTTATGTTAAGCAATTAATTCAGTTTTATTCAACATATTTTATGTAATCAAGCTTGACTTTTTTAGAAGGAATTGGAATCTGGTTTAGATTTTTTTCCTCATGTTCCAGTTATTTCTACAACCTTTCTAAAATTGGAACTTCTAGTCTATCCTTAAACTGGAAATTTATAAAATGCTGCTGAAAGTTCCATAAAATTCATGGGAAAAGATTTACCCATTAGATATAAAATCCAAGAGTAAAAAGAATATTTTGTACTACCACAAAATCTAGAACAGTACACTGTGCAGAGCAGACTCTTGAATATAATAAGCTGAAAACCAGTTTAAAGATGAATTCTATCACAGGTCAGTCAATACATGCCAGTAAGAGTTCTCACTAACACCAAATGCTCTGGCAGCAAGTAACCAAAAACTAACCACCTGGAAATTGTAAAATGATATACAAATACAACAAACATTCCAAATTACATTTTAAGGCTTCATCTAGGGCAGTTTTTTTCAAACTACAGACTGCAATCTATTACTGGGTCCAAAATTAATTTAATGAGTCCAGACCAGCAAACGAAGAAAGGGTGAAACAAGGGAGGATAAACAGAATATAAAATGTCAGAGGGCCCACAGGTAGAAGGGTATTATTTCATGAAGAGGTAGTATTATTTCATGAACTCTGTTTTGTTCTGTATACCGGGAGTAATTTATAATGTATTTTAAGGATGGGTTTGCTTAAGGATGTTCTTATCCCTTCAAACTTCCAAAGGCAGAGGTCAATCTTGACTGTCTTCTAACCCGCAGGAACATTCAATGCAGTTAAGATACAGCAGCTCCTGAAACATAATTACTCGTCCTTGAACAACTACTTCTAGAAAACATTAACTGTATTCCACATCACAATTCAGAGTTTAAAATAAGGCTATGGCATTCAGAAAAGTAACTTGGAAGTACAACAGTCACACTCTTCTACTGAAATGGTCACGTGTTTAATAGTCACACAGTCCACTAAAATAGTCATGTGAAGAGAATAAACACCAAAATAAAGATTTTTTTAAAAAGGTATATGAAATGTTTCAAAGATTCAAGGCACAACCTGAAGCCATTTAATATTTCAGTTAATAGATAAGAAAGGGTCACTCTGAATAGTTAGTACTGGAACTGCCTAAATATTGGCCAATCATCCTGCATTTCTTCACTGGGTCTATGTTAAGAGTTACTCTGAACACTCAGAGTTACTCTGAACACTCAGTTGTTTTAACAGAGCTTTCTAATTATTTTTGAAGCCACTTAAAAAAAAAAAAGAACACTTTTTGATGTATGAGGGACAGTTTCATAAATTACAGCCAATATCTGTTCTAAAGGCCCAAGGTAATGGGTATTTCTCAGGGTGCATCCACTACTCATCACAACTACTGTATATTCAAGTCAAACAAACCCCACTATTGTTACGGAAGCACATCCCCCCACACTACTGTTATAGCTTTTTTTCCCTCTAATATAAACCCGCACATGGTTGGAGAAACAGAAGAGGACAAAAAGTGCAGCTGTAACAAGAATTTCCCCAGTTGCAGAGCGAAGGGTGCCTTTAATCACTGCTCACACGGTTTAATGTTCTGCCTGGCTCACTACCTCCTTTCTTCTTATACTTTGAAACTTGCTGTGGCTTGAGATATCAACCCTTGGCATAATCACTGGCTACTTTTATAATCTGGTCCCATGTTGCTGGAAAAAAGGAGCTGCAGTCTTTGTCTACTAACAATTCCTCATTAAACACAAATTCCAAAAACATAAATCTTTGATAAGCACCTACCAGAAAGTCATTTTGTGTGCAAGTACAAAAGAATGCACCAAGACAAATTACGGAGTTCACAGCCTCTTATTCCTAGAGGCAAAAAGACTTTTAGTTCAAACACTAATGACATGGGTTTTAATGAAAGAAGAGCAAAAGAACCCATTTATTTATCCATTCTGATCAGAAATCACTAAAATTCAATTCTCATTATAGTAGAGGACAAAGCTGGACACTCCTAATCACCCTAGATTAAAGATGCCTCTCACTTTTTTCTCTTTTTTGGGCCATTACACCAAACCTACTGCAGAACTATACCCACCTTCAGGCTAGAAGAAACAACATAATAGCTTATTGATCTCTGGTGTAGACCCAAAACCACAAGTCATCAGGCAAGCAGGGATCACAGCCACTTGATGCAACTAACAATCAAAAGTCATGCACTGGGTTTTCTGGTCACACACAAGCACACCATCAGCAATGACCACATCAAATGTGGACCAACCACCCTCCCCACTCCCAGCCCCAAACAAACAAAAATAATATATTAATCAGGTCAGGGCTCAATGCATTCTGAATCACACCGAAAAACTATTTCTTGGCTGTCAGTAAGTTTCAATTTAAGTTCATTAAATTCTTCATTTAGTGTAATTTTTCAGGTTTTAAAAGTTACCATCACATTCAAATCCACAGATAAATGCTTTCAAAAAAGATAATACTTGCTCATGAATTACATGTTGACTGAACTCCATCACCACCACCGTTACTGGAATAGTGTTTGTCGCAAATTTAAGTAAAATGCACCAAAGCATGGTAACTTCTAATTATTTTCTTCTGAAGAAATCAAAGCACCACTCCAAAAAGCAAAGGTTAAGTTAACCGTGTTCTCCGAAACACCTATTCAATGTGTTTCACTGATAAACTAAGAACGGTGAAGTCAGAAGTGGAACTAAAGTCTCACACGATGAGACTTTCCAATTAATTCCATTTAGCTTTTGCTCGGATCCCAACGTAATATACAGCTTAGTCCTCACACACAGCCTTCAGCCTTCTCTTAACCTCAAAGGAATACAGGTAACGCAATCCGTAGAATGGAATAAAGCAACAGTTACAACATAAGCAGACAATGACGGATGAAATGACAAACGAACGAGGACTCGGGGCAGACACGAACGCCCTAAGACGGAGAGACTGAGGTGGGGCTGGAAACTATTCTCTGGCCTTGTCGCGCGTGCTGCTCCTGGGGGAGGCACGGGACCCTGCCCGCCCGGGATCACAGAGCCTCGGCCCCCGAGGTGCAGGGATGGGAAGCAAGCAGCGGGCCGCTTTCTCAGGGAGTGGGGAAGGTGGGGGGTAGGTGCAGTGGGCATTTCACTGGGGAGAGAACTTCTTGACCCCGGAAGGCTTGCGGTGGCAGGACCGTCCCGGCAGCGGCGGGGGCGACCTCCCCTTCTTTCTCACACAGTCATACATCTTGGTGTGTGTGGGTTGTGCAACAGACTATGAGTCCTCCAGGAGCCGGCCGCGGGGGCCCTCCAGTCCAGGTCGGGGAGTCCGCCCGCCACCCCTTGCTACACCGGGGCTCCCCCCGGCCGGGATGCCCAAGCCCCTCTCCAACACCCCGAGGGCCTGGAGGGGGGCGAGTGGACGAAAGCATCTTCGAGTGGGGACGCCCCCTCCGCTGCATCCACCCCTCGCCGGGTCTTTGTCCCGCCGGTGGCCGGGGTCTCTCGCCAGTTCTCCCGGGGAACCCCTGTCCTGGAGGCCTCGGGGCCCGGGGTCGCCCCAGCTTTGTTAGGTCAGCGGGGCGCGGAGACGCGGACACTTACCGTACACCCCAGCGAGGAAAAGCAAGACCAACGCAGACCTCCACCGCGGAGACTCTTTTGTGCTCCAGCGACGGGCCATAACCACGGCAGATGGAGGGAGAGAGGAGGAGACGGAGGAGGAGGAGGAGGAGGAGCCGGGGCCAGACACCGCCGCTACCGAGCCGCCGGCTGCTCCCTGCGCTCTCCGCGGCGGCGGCAGGGGGAGGGGAGGGGAGGGGCCGCCGCCGCCCGCGCGCGCTCCCTCCCTCCCTCCGGCCCTCCCTCAGCAGCTCGCCCGCTCCCACCTCAGGCGGCGCGAGAGCCCTACGCTGGGCGGCCCTCCCGGGGGCGAGGGCAGGGGCAGGTAACGCGCGCGCCGGCGCGAGGCGAGCCGGTGGCAGACGCGCCACTCGGCCCCCGCGCTGCACAGACCGGCCGGCGCCGCCAGCCGCCAGACAGAGCGCGAGGCGGCACTCGCGCTCATCCGTGCGATCGGCAATCCCCTGGCCCGCCTGCCTTGGTTCCCGCCCCGCGCTCCGCCGGACTTTCCAAGTCTCGGGACCGGTTTCCTCGCGACTGGAGCCGGAGGAGCAAGGCAGTGCCAGTCGATGAGCGAGCGCGCGAACGCCGGACGCTGGGCTCCCTCGGCTGGGGAGCGGGGGCCGGTTGCGGCGCTCGTTCGCAGTCCAGGGCCTCGGTGCTGCCCCCGCGGGGATGTGAGGGCCAGGTGGGAGGCTGAGGGTAGCTGCGTGTGTGGAGAGAGTGGGTGGTCGGAAGCTGTGATCTTGGGAGTTTCTCTGCCCTACCCGTACATGTCTCCGCTTAATATCGGCGCGGAGCTCCGGGCGGGTGGGCACAGGTTAGGGCGGCCGATCCCGGCCACGGGTCGGTGTGGGGGCCTGCTGGGGAGCTCGGGCTGGACGCCACGCTTAAGGTGCCCGGATGAGTCGGTCAAGGCTGGAGTGTGGAGCTTCTCCAGTCTGGTGTGGAAGCCGGGCCAGGCGGTTTGACATCGCGCGGGGTCGGGGAGGTAGTTGGAGCTGGGCCGGGATGCTCGGCTGGAACTGTCTTTGGGGACGAGAAGTAGGGGGCGGAGGTTCATTCAGCACTTCTTAATTTCCCTAAACATCTTCCCCCATCCCAACAAGTGTAACTCCTCCTTCCCTTAGATCTAGCACTTTGTAATACATTTGTAGTGACACTGGCACGTCAGACCTTCGCCTTATGTTTTTAGTGTTTGTCTGCACGTCTTATCTCCCTACTGGATTTGTCATTGGTCTTCACACGCACTCTCCCGGCTATTCACTGAAGACCTACAATGCACTATGCTGTCCTATTGACAGAGATTATCTGTTTTTAATCTCTAACAACCTTGTGAGATAAATATTATCCACATTTTATAGATAAGAAAATAAGACTCAGAGAGGTTAAATTACCCAAAATGATATGGCAAGTGAATGGTTTGAAACAATTTTTCTCACTCCAAATTCAAGACTATTTTCCCTGTACCACAGCATACTCTGTAGTAGCACGATGCTTAGTGTATAGTAGGTAACTGTTAAATTTTAAGACATACTTTTTTGAAGGTACATTGAGTCTATCCCCTACCGATGTGTCCCATTTAAAATTTTTTTCCAGGAAACGGTATTCCAAAAGATAAAAAATTTGTTAACAAACAACGCAAAATCCAATAATTAACAAATCTTGTATCATCTGGCAAAAAAAAAAAAAAGGAAAACCCAGAACTCCAAAAATGTTTTCCACTCTCATTGGAGAAAAGGAGCAGCTTCATAGTTCTTCATTAAACAATCTCCAGTCGTCTTTCCTAGTTTTAGTATTCTAGGCTCTGCTTGCTTGTGTCTTGAGATCTCTTTAGAGAAATTGTGCTGCCCACGACTGCTGTGTTTAGGACAGGCCACAAACAAAATGAGGGGAGACTGTGGACTGCATCTTCCCCTCTCCCCTTTTAGTACCACTTGAGGAATCCTATCCCAGAGACAAGACACACAGTGCCCTCAACAGTCCCTTGGCTGATGCATTCATGCCCTTCTCACCCCTACACTTGCTCATCCACCCAGACTTGTCTTCTGGGACTCAGCAAGTTCTCAAACGTTTTGGTCTCAGAGTCCCTTTAAAAACACTTAAAATTTGGTAAGGACTCCAAGGAGCTTTTGTTTATGTGGGTCATGTCTATCGATTTACCATTTAGAAATTAAACCAAAATTTTAAAATAATTGTAAATTTGTTTAGAATAAAAACTGCATGACAAGTTAACTCTCTTTTCCCAAACAAAAAATTTAGTGAGAAGTGTAGCATTGTTTCCATCTTTGTAAATCTCTTTAATATCTGGCTTAATAGAAGACAGCTGGATTCTGCTGTCTGCTTCTGCCTCCAATCTGTTGCACTATGTTGTTTTGGTTGAAGTATATGAAGAAAACCTAACCTTACACAAGGTAGAGGGAGGTATATAATAAATGGCAAAGGGAGGACCTTCTGTACCTCCCCCTGGTCCTCAGATAAAACTTGGAGGACTGTTGTTTTAGGTGTCTATCTTAACGCCTTCAAAACCTAAGCATTTTGTTTCTTGTTGGAAAGAATCTAATAAATATTTATTCTAAGGTATTAGCAGCTGAGCACTTCAGTGTTAACCAGCCAGGGATATTTATGTTTCATGATGGAGCATTTTTATTTATACAAAATTTAATTAGAATAGAATTAAGTATCAGACATTGGTAAGCAACATGGCACAGAATAGGTATTCAGTATCACCCTTTTTCTTAGAAGATGTCTACTTCTGGGCTAATGTATCAAGTAACTCATATAGGAGAAAGCACTTAGAAATCTGTAAAAACTATATATATAAAGTTGTTAGTATTGGTAACAGTTCTGTTGCAGTTGGCTGCTGATTTAACTTGGCCAGTGTTCAGACTTGCTCCCTATAAAGCATAAAGCGATTTCCTGAGACTTGTGTGGTTTTTAATCTGGGTCCCTGAATCCATAGATGGGCTTCAAAGGTTCTCTTAAGCCTTCTGAAATTGTATGACAATTTTGTGCTCATGTATTTTTATAGGCAGAAGATTCGTTATTTTTCAGCAGATTGTTGAAGGGCTGTGTCAACCATTAAAAAAAAAAGTTTAAGAAAGATTGAATGAGGCAACTGTTTGAGCTGCTTCTTATTCTTAATATTTTTCCAAATGATTCTTTTTTTTTTTTTTTGGTGAGAGAATTGGGCCCTAAGCTATCTGTTGCCAATCTTCCTGTTTTTGCTGAGGAAGATTAGCCCTGAGCTACCATCTTTGCCCATCTTCCCCTATTTTGTATATAGGATGCCACCACAGCATGGCTTGATGAGCGGTGCGTAGGTCCACGCCCAGGATCCAAACCTGCGAACCCTGGGCTGCTGAAGCAGGGCGCGTGAACTTAACCACTGTGCCACCAGGCTGGCCCTATCCAAATGATTCTTAAACTCCTCAAATATATGCATTTGGGAGTGGAGAAGTACATGGACTGCTTCTTTTTCCCTTGACATCTTCTGAAAACGGCCACTATCCTCCACTTTATGAAAACATGCCCTTAATAATCCTTTTGTTTTGGTTTTAAACTTCTCTTTCCTCCTCGTTTGGTTATTACCACATATAATGGTTTAATTTTTACTGTTGTCATCAACAAAAATTCGCTTTTCCCTGGTGTAGACCCTGCTCCATTTAGTAGCGTTTGAGAATCTCATCAACACTATGAGGTTAGACTGGGAATTTAAGTCTACCACTCTGAGCATCATCTTTTATTGGAAAGAAAATTGATGATAGTGATTCTTCTACTTGGCATGCTACCAGGCAAAGCTAAATCTTTTAACTTCCCCTTAAAGAAATATTATGTTTAAAAAGGAAAAACAAACTTGATGAACACATATAAATAACTAGAAGAGAAAGAGAAAAAAATTTTTTAAAGATGGAAGTTAAATAAATGAGATATCTTTGCAAGCAAATTGTAATTTCCACTGGAACTGAGTAATGTAGGGTAGCAAATGAGATTCATCAATCTAGGCAACTTCTATACCAGCTCCCTAGCACATTTATCGTGGTTATTATTTATTATGGTCTGCGCTCTGACAGGATACCCAGCATTGTACCAAGTAGTCAAAGACATAATCCTGGCTCTAAATTAAATAGCCCCAATTCACATAGATTTAGTTTTGCCCTCATAAACTCAACTTCTTTTTAATAATTTTTATTTATTTATTTATTTTTCCCCCAAAGCCCCAGTAGACAGTTGTATGTCATAGCTGCACATCCTTCTAATTGCTGTATGTGGGACGCGGCCTCAGCATGGCCGGAGAAGCGGTGCGTGGGTGCGTGCTCAGGATCCGAACCCGGGCCGCCAGCAGCAGAGCGCGCGCACCCAAGCGCCAAGCCACGGGGCCGGCCCTAAACTCAACTTCTTAATTGCAAAACCTGACCAAAGAGCATGCGTGAATTTACAGTGCTAATAATATCTGTCTCTTGTAGCCGTATGAAACAGTTGCCCCTACCAAGAAAACGAGAAGAAGGAATGTTAGACGTTGGTATTTATAAAGAGATACTCTGAGCATTTTTGTTGTTGAAGTGCGAAGTTTCAAAATGCACATAACTGTGTTTTTTAAGTTCTTCCTATAATTGATTTGGCGATATGAACTGGACATGTTCGTAGGATGGAATCGTATCCCATATGAGCCCATCAGAAGTAAACTGGCCACTGTGATGGCAACTCAGTGGCTCTTTATGGGGAAGTATTGCTAATTTGAAGCATATATAACTTATGTGTTTGTACTCTGCCCAAGTCCGAAAAGATTTGAGGTTCCCCAGTGTATTTAACAGTATAGTAGACTGTATTTGTTAAAATTATAGGTCTTAAGAGTTTAACAGAGCTGAGTTTGACCTGGGTAGTTAACCTTGGTCAAGTAACCTAACCTTTTATACCACATATTCCCACTTACAAAATGGGAAAAAATGAGGACCTCATTAAATTATCTACATGCCTTAAATGAGATAATAATAGTTGCTAATATATATTGAGTGCTTACAGTATGCTATGCATTTAATCCTCAAACAATCCTATGATGTCAATACTATTATTATCCCCATTTTTCAAATGAACAAACAGGCACAGAGAGGGTCAGTAATTTTCTCAAGATCACACAGATAGTAAATGGTCGGCATTTAAACTCAGGCAGTTTGACTCCAGAGCATGCACTCTTAATCATT